TACAATTCTTATCACAATCCATACATATCACCATCCATCCATCCATTGTGTCAAGCACCTTTGTACATTTGTTGTTCTCATCATTCTCAAAACGTTTGCTTTCTACTTGAGCACTTAATATCAGCTCCTCATTTTTCCCCTCTCTCCCCACTCCCCCCTCCTATTTTCACACTTTTGTGTGTACATAAGATTCATTCCATTTGTCCACGAACTGTTTGAAACCCCTCGTACGTTAGTGGGAGTGCTTTGGGGTCCCTTCCCACCCGGAGTGACCCTGCGTACAACAAGGAAACATGTTCCATCCGCCCTGTACCATCCTCACAATCCGCCCCTTCCTTTGCTGCATATACAAACATACAGAAGTTCATAGAAAAACTAAACGATTTTTAATTCCCTTTTTTCCACCAACTCTTTGAAGTCCATTTGTGTATGTTAACACATCTACGTGCTAGAGTAAGTCAAAAAGTATTGCTGCCAGTTCGTACATAGATGGGTTTGTTCCAAGCAAAACGTGTCCCCAGGGTCAGTGGAAGCCCCAGACGAGCTTTCTTAGTAGAACACCTGTTAGGGGGCCTTCAAAAACAAAAAGGCCAATGCAAACGGACTTTTGGACAGGTCTGCTGGGCCTGTTAAATTCATAGCAGAGCAGTCAGCTCAGTGGGTTCTCATACAAAGGCTTCAGGCATCTTGATAAATAGTCTCGAAAGACGTGAGCACAAACGATGTGGCTTATTGTGACAGATGAAAATCGCGGGCTGCATTGGTGAGAAAAAGGCTAGGACAGTTACACTTATGATTTTTAGTTTTTGTTTGTTTTGTTCTTTTCATTCGAACAATGCGCCCACTTATGCAAGGATAGCAAGAGCCGCGCTAAGAGAATTTCGCTGGGAAAACATCCCATCAATCTTACAGCCCTGATCGTAACCTTTCAGACTTATTTTTGTTTCCAAAACTTAACGAACATATAAAAGAAACACAATTTGAATCCCTCGAGGATGCCAAAACTACCTTTTAGTGTGCTATAAATCGAAGCTCGATTGTTGGGGAGAGGTCAGAGAGATAGAAACACTGCCTTCAGAAGTGTATAGCCCTCGTTGGTGGGTGTGTCGGAAAAATAGCTTCACATTTTGATATTTTTGTTTGCCAAAGATGTCTATGATACTTTTTAACATATTCTCAAGGTCATTCCAAACCAGTTGTTCTTGCGTCTTTTCCAAGTCACGGCAACCCTGTGTGTACAGAATAAAACAACTCTAAAGGTTTGTCAAGAAATCCTAGTAGTGCAGGAGTCAAGCACTCAGCTGCTAACAGAACACTCAGCAATTCAAACCCACCAGCCTCTCCACGAGAAAGATCTGGCAATGTCCGTCCATAAAAACGTACGTTCTTGGGAACCCTATGGCTCCAAGTATTCGATCCTAAAGGGTGGCTGTGGGTTGGAATCAACTGGGCTGTAACAGTTTAATGTCTGTCATCATTTGCACCACCCAGGGTGTGCCTGTCTTTCTGTCTCGGTATGCATCATAAATACATATTTATATGAAGATAGAGCTTTTGCTGCGTGGGACCCCCTGCATGACTCAAAACAGTTAAACACTGGACTATTCCCTGAAAGGTTGGCAGCTTGAACACACTTGCAAATGCCTTAGAAGACAGGTCTGGCAATCTGTTTCCAAAAGGTCACAGCCCTGAAATCCCTCTGGATCAGTTCTGTTCCCCATTCATGGAGCGGTCATAAGTCAGGATCAGCTCGATGGCATCTAGTAGCATAGATGCTTCATTGCCTTAATGTTCTGTAGTTTACCTCTGGGTTCTAATATCCATTGTGATGACTGCACAGAAACTCAGACAAATTTCATTATTAAAGAGTTTATTAAGGATGTTAATAGGTTGAAATGCCAGAGAAAAATGCTCAGGGTAGCTGTTTACCAGAACGTGTTTCAAAGGTTCGGGTCTGGTAATAATAGCCGGAGGGGCTCACCATTCTCCTGAAAGCCATAACAGGAAGGCATTCAAGGTCTGTATGTCAGCAAATCCAGCTCCCTGAATCAAGTGCCCAGAGGCACCCCGCACCAGTAAGCTCAGCCCAAAGGCACCCAGCTCCACTTCCATGGGTCAGCAAGTCCAACTTCCCCCCATTAAATGCCAAGAGATATCCTTCCACTCCACAAGCCAGCCTCCTGCACAAAAGCACTCAACTTGCTCTGTGGATTGGGAAGTCCATCATTCTGATCCATGCTCTGGCTCCTGGCCCTGCTGCTGCTCCTCGGATGGTACAGCTGCCATCGAAATCCAGGAGGTTCACTGCACAGGGATCTCAGGTTCAGAGGACACGCTCCACTCCTGCTCTTGCTGGTAATGAGAACCATGCTCCTGCTTCTCAGAGGGTTCATATTGTCCTCAGCAGGATGTCACCCCAAGGAATCTTGTTTGCAATCACTCACAGGTGGGCCTTCTCAGGCTCTTCCCCCTCCTTCTTCCCAGACCCATATGCAGGGCATTAGTCTCTAATTTGATGAGCGTTAGAGACATTGCCTGGAAGAGCCACATTAAAAAATTCACTGGCCCTATAATATTCAATATTCATGATATAAACTTACATGAGCCGCAGGGGAATATAAAAATCAAAATAGTTAAATGGTAGAAAGTTTCAAAGATTTTTTAATATTCTATATTTTATGCTGTTTTTAAAAATCATGTATTGGGGGCTTGTACAATGCTTATCACAACCCATACATACATCCATTGTATCAAGCACATGTGTACATCTTCATTCTCAAAACATTTGCTTTCTAAACTTGAGCCCTTAGTATCAGCTCCTCGGTTTTTCCTTCCCCTGCCTCTCCCTCCCCCTGAGTTTTGCTTTTTTTTTTAAAGTCTTGCTAGACACGGACCTTTGGTTTTACTCCTCTCTAAATTGTGCCTCAAATACTGTGGCTTGCAGCACATATGTCCTATGAAGTCAATATTTGTTATTTGCAACGAAGCCAATTTTTATGTATTCTAAAGACACTCTTTGTCAAGGAAATCAGATGCTCTCTCCTCTCAGGGAAACTCACGGGGCAAATGTTTTTAAAACTTCCAACTATCAAGCCACTCAATTTAGGCTATCCCAAAGCCAAAGCGATGAGTCTATTCCAACAAGGACCCTGTAGGGCAGAGCCAAACCGCCCCCGTAAAGTTTCCAAAGCTATGCATCTTTACAAACATCGACTGTCACATCTCCCGTGGAGGGGCCAGTGGGTTCAAACCGCGGACCTTGCAGTTAGCAGCCAACTGCTTCAAGGTCGGCACCACCAGGGCTCCCTCTCATTTAGTCATCCGGGGGAATTCCAAGACCCTGACCATTTCCCGTCCTTGTCTGTGTCATTTCTTCCTGCCAGTCAATCTCAGAACAAGAGGTCTTCTGTTCCATATGAACAATAAAACGAATTTGTAACAATTTGTGATAGAAAAAAAAATGTGGCGACTCCCCATGACTCAAAACTACAAAAAAGTGCACATGCAGTTTAGTAATCATTTTGCTTTGGCTTCACATCTCAGTTCTCAGACAGTTACAGAAACCGTCCTAGTATGTGTAGGACCGCACGTCACCTGGAACGGATATGTAGCATGAATTACTCGATCTACATTCAAGTGCATTTCTGTTTCACTTCTTGTCGTGACCAAAATAGTAAGATGATGAATATACTTCAGTGTGGTGAGAAACTGGCATCTCAACTCCAAAGCCTTAGATATTTTCTCTTTTAAAAGTATGGACTATCACTCAGGTATAACAAATAGAACGTGGTAACTTTTCATCTTGTATTATTGTGTGTTAATATGTGTTTACTCATATGTTCAGGGCCCACCCCCACCCCCCCTAGCTTATAGTTGTTAGCAGTTTTTAGAAATAAGTTGTATATGTCAGGCAAACTTTCCATTAAAAATATTTTTAAATTTATATAGAACATTTTATTTATTTATTTTTAAATCATTTTATTGGGGGCTCATACAACTCTTATCACAATCCATACATACAGTACATCGTGCCACGCACATTTGTACATTCGTTGCCCTCATCATTCTCAAAATATTAGCTCTCCACTTGAGCCGTTGGTATCAGCTCCTCATTGTTCCCCTCCCTACCGCTCACCCCTCCCTCATGAACCCTTGATAATTTATAAATTATTATATAGAACATTTTAAATAGTTGTATGATCCAAGACAATTCTGAAGAAAAGTAAGGTTCAAGGGATTTGTCCTACTAG